AAAAGAGAATTCCAGAAGAAACTAGAAAAATTCAGAAGATAAAGAATATACCGAGCGAAAATATTAATTGGGCGGCTTTAAAAACATAATATATCATTAGTGTACTATAATATAGTTCTCATAAAATCAATATTCCAAACATCTTTTTAATATTTCGAAATATTTTAAAATATTCTATATACCTTTTAAATACCCTAAATAACATGTGTTTTTCCGAAACCTTTTTCGAAAAAAATATTTAAATCTATTTCTTTATTTCTAAAAAATTTAGAAAAAAAGAAAAATATAAGAAATAACTTTTTCTAACTAAAATCCCATTTTCTCTAACTCAACAACTATTTTCTTTAACTAAACCACCACTTTCTCTAAACTTTATGGATAATTTTTCCATGTATAAATATTCCGAAATTTTATGACATTTAGTATGTTTCTAAAATAGTGGAAATATTAGATTTCCCCTATAAGAGGCTCCACAATCTATATATATTTTATGTCATAGTATTATTCAATAAAATAATGAATAATTTTCTATTTATCAAATATTATAAAATAATATATTCTTAAAAAATTTCTGCAAAAATATCAATATATAAATAAAAACTAAACAATATATCTTATATCAATTTTCTAAAGCGTAATATAATAAAATATTAGCTGTCTAGTTTCATTAAATTGTTGAAACACAAGTCAAAAAATACGAATATTCGTACTAATAATATTCTTCTAACTTCGAAAATAAACAAAAAATCATATTTCTATAAGTTAATATTCGCAAATATAATCTATAATTACAATTTTCTTTTTTTATTTTAAATATTTAAGAATCTTATCGAATAAAAATTTACATAAAGTATATCTATATATATATATATATAGAATATTCAAAAATCATAAATTTTTAGATTTTAGATTTCATATTATTAATTCAATTATTTACTAATTTATCTTATATTTCTTTAAAATTAAGGGTTATATGAATATATTGTATAATAAAAAATAAAATAACAGATTTAATCAAATATCTTTATATTTATAGAAAAAATAACAGACAAAAAAACTAATTCGAGGCATGAAAAATATTAAATCTGCAGACGATCACTAATTAAAATAAAAAGGAAATAAATGCCAATGGATTACAAGTGCTATTGCGGCGATTGCTACTGCTACTGCGACCATTCTACGACGTCTACGACTTCCATTACGACTCAGAGCACGACTATAACGACCTCGACGACAAATCATCGCACCACGAGAAACCGTGGACTAACAACATATCTTCCTACTCTCTTGGCAGCTCACTCTTCCGAGTATGAGTATGAGTGTGGCGGGACTTCTGCAACATGTGAGATGTGCCAGCGACAAGGTCTTGAGGGCCTAAATAGGCCCAACCAACAATGTCTAACAGTCCAAACAGCGTTAGGCACGTAGCACACCCACGCCTGCCTGCCGGACTGCCAACTTGAAACACTTCAATCATTTGGGACCGTTGGAAAACTTTGAACATGAGAGAGAGAGAAGAGAGAGAGAGAC